ACTCACCACATCTCCCAATGCCCAGCGCCAGCCCCTCCCAATGGAGACCCACAGCCTGGGCCGGCTAGCCCTGTCCTGCCAGCCAGAGCCCACTCTGCCCAGAGGTGCTACCCCAGACCCCACATCTTCTGAGCTGCTCTCTGGGCACGGGGTAGCACAGCCTCAGATTCCTTTTTGCCTTCTGCCCCCCAGCTGGCCTAGGCAGGACTACCGAGCATCTGCCTCAGTTTCCCCATCTCCTACTTTAGTTTCCCAGGGAGACTAGGGCCTGTTTTCTTTGTGAGGACTGAATTCCTCCCCTCCCACCCATGCCCCAGCTGCATCCCAGAGGATGCCCTGAGCCCCCAGGACTGCAAAGCTACTGCCTTTGCACTAAACCCATCTAGCACCACAGCACGGCAGGTGCTGACCCCTTCCTGCCCCGGGCCATGGCTCTGACTGGGCCTGAGACCCCTGGAAGCTCTCTCCAGGGCCATTTTGCCTCCTGGCCCCAGGCTCAGTTACACCCCCATCCTCTGCCTCCTGAGGCCCCACCAAGCCTTATTTGGCAACTCTTCAAGCTGTGGAGATCCTCTCTCCTCCCCCAGCCGCCCTGTCTGAGCTCATCTGCCCTCCCTTGCCTGGGGCCACACAGGTGGCCAACCCTTCCCCCTCCAGGACTTGCTTTGTGGACTCTTTGAGACTGTTCCCAGTTGTTAAGCAGGAATAATTGTACCTCTTCGCTGGGGTGGTGTGAGGATTACCTTGTGAAAGGCTTGGCAACTTAGTACACTCCAACTGTACCGCAATGGAGCTGGCAGCCCAGCCATCATGTCCCCGACGCAGCCACTGAACCCTGCTGCCAGCTACGTGGGAACTGGCAGGCAGAGCCAGCGTGAGAACAGGACAGGCTGACTCTCTAGTCCTGACCCTGGGAGTGTCCAGAAGACTCCTGAGCGGGGGTGCATGTGTGCAAGGAGGAGGGGTGGCACTTGAAGGGCTTAGAACTAAGGACGGAGCTGGGTGGGAGGAAGTGTGGGGAGACTGGGTGGCTCCCTGGCTGAAGGGCTCAGACCCATGCTGCCAGCTGGGCCAGCACGATTCTTGTCACGTGTTTATTTCTCCATTGGCCTCCCTCCAGCTCCAGCCAGGCCTTTGCGGGCTCAGACAGCTCTGGCTTCACACCTGCTTCAGGTGTGGGTATCCCAACTCCCACACCAGGGAGTAGAAATTAAGCAGCTTGGAGGTGTGAGAAAGGTGGTGGTGTGGGGGTGCCCCAGGCCCTTCCCAGAGGGTCGCTACTGCTCCCAGGGACCCTGGGAAAGTAGGGCTGTGGGCTGAGAAAAGAACATGGGCGTGTCCTGCCCCAAGCTTGGGCTCTGGGATATTGTGGGTGGAGATGGTGCTGGGGCCCTTAAATTCTTGGGGAATTTAAGAATGGGCTCCAAAGCGCCCACCTGCTTTCTACTTCTCTCAGGCCCCTCCTCAGGTCTCGTTGGAGGGTGGTAGGTAGGGCGAGTGCAGACAAGGGACAGGGCTAAGGTAGGCGTGACTGTTCCTACCTGGGCCAGTCAAGGCAAGCCCTCCTGAGCTGACTACCCTTCTGTGCCAGGGTCATTGCCTCACTGGACCAAACCTAGACTGCACTCCCTTCCTTCTCTGCAGGGTGCCCTAGAGCACTGAGAGCCCGGGCCCCATCCCACATGTATGGGCATCAGAGGATGGATCCTTTGACTAGGACAATCCCCCCTCTACCCCACCAAGTAAGTCACCTGGAAGTGCCACACCTCCAGTACCTTCTCCATGGTCCTGTCCTGAGAGGGCAACAAAATCAGTAAGGGGCTGGCTGGTTAGCTCAAATGGTTAGAGTACAGCCTTGTAACACCAAG